CCCCAAAACCCCAAAACCCCAAAACCCCTGGCTATAGAATTCAGGTTGAATATTATGACTTTATTTTATTTTCCTTTATGCTCTTCCATTATTTTTATTTTTGAATGTTGGCAAACTGAATTTTCCTATGAGGAGTAATCAATACAAGCATAAAGAAATTATATCAGGAAATGCAACAGATTTATAATGGGGTAGCTCTGGATTAGCCATTAAATTAGTTAGCCAGAATTCTTAGATTTCTGACGTTATAAGAAGCCAACTTGGTAGAATAACTATAAATCTTACTCTTTGGTTGAATGTTCGGGAGGCTTTAACTTTTGGAGCAAGTTTTTGAAGCTTCTTTCTTCTTCTGGCTCTTCATTTCTTGCATAATAATAAAACCAGTGAAGTCAAGTTGATTCAGATTCCCAATATTGGGCTCAAAAGCAACATTTCAATAAACATGCTTTCTTTGTTCGTCGACCAGTCTTGCTCAAATTTCATAAATATTAAAATTGTAACGGCAGAAATAAAGTTGATCTGGCTCAGGGACTCAACAAAGTTGTTCACAGCTGAATCATACGGCCTCACTAAGATCAGAAATGCCACTGAAGCAATGTGAAGAGTCAAGAAGAGGCTGAGCTTGATATAGTACACAAAGTTGATACCATCCACTTGGCCATCTGAGCATTCGAGATCAGTATTTTGAAATCCAATAAGAATGATCACAGATAGGAGTCTTATAACTACAAAGCACAAACTATTAGCCTTGGGCCACTTCTTGGCTTTGATTCCTGAGTACAACTCTGCAGTCATCCAGTGGCTGGGGAATTCAGAGTGCATATTCTTCCTAAAATTATGAGCTTGGACTTACAGACTGTAAACATAGGATAGCAACATAATGAGGACGATGAAGACCGACATGCAGAGAGCAAATACAAATCAGAACACGAGAGATACCAGAGCTACAGTTGAATCAAACTTGAAAACCTTGAACTCGTGGGCAGTCGACATGAACTGGAACAAGGAATTCTCCATGAAAAGTCTGATGTAGAAGCTGAACGTCATGTATTTAAATATCTTTGATATTATGATTCTGCATTTGTTTTCCTCATCTTTATCTTGCAAAGATGTTTGGAATACCAAGATAAGCAAATGAAAACCTCCTATTACTAATAGAAACATCATCATTGGCAAATAGTTTACTATTGAGCTGCTTGAAGTCAGTCCGACTTCTCCTAAATAGAAATCCTCTTGTGGGTAGTCAACTAAATCCTGTATTTCTTTGACAAGTGGGATATCTTCTATCGGAATGAAATCAAGTGAAATAAGCGAAAAGTCTGCTCCCAGAATGAACTGGAAAACTTTGGATGGGAAATATGGAGGAATCAATGGAAGAAGAATGTACATCTGGAACTGGTTGATCAAGCTGAACATTCCTACTGGAGAACTTATCGAAGCGATAGATAACAAAACTCCTAGAATTATGCTAATACCAATTATTGTTTTTCCAATAATGGCTTCAGCTTTGGCATCTGCTCCGATTCACGTATCTTGACTATTACTGAGTTCATAACCAACATTGCACTCACTTCATTTGTTTGGGTCTTCAATCTGTCAACTCTTGCAGTTGGCGACTCCTCACTGTTGAACGGTGATGTAAAACTTCTTCTGTGCTGACACACTTCCGTCGTCAATTGAAAGTGCAAATTTGTACAATGTGTTTTGAGATACATTCGGAGTTTTGTTCAAGGTCAGAATTTCATTCTGGGCATCTAGATACACCCAAGATGGCACAGTTTCGCTATCGAGAGAATGGAGATCAAACACAATAATAGTGGAGCTAGAAGAGTGAGAACAAGCCCATGTAAACGTCAAGTTTACTTTTGAGTCAAATAAATATCTTTCGACATAATCTTCGTTCCAGAGTGCTGTGATATATGTTAATCCAGTAGAAGCCATTGTTAAGGAAGACGAAGACAATGATACAGAGCCAATTGAAGAAGTTGACCTAATTGTTCTACTCAGTGGTGTTATTGTTCCTGCATCACCTACTATATTGTTGGTTGCAACACTTGTAAATGATGAGCTTTGGGAAATCAAGCTAGGAAACCGGTCAAAATCTTGGACTTGACTTCTGATTAGCTGGACCACAGAAGATTCTTTTCCAAAGAGTACGGCTTGCTCATGATTGTTAGTTGTAATCGATTCTGCAGCAAGAATTATAGTCGAACTGTTTCCATATTCTTTATACACAGAGCATGCTAATGGATCAATAATGCTTATCACCGATCCTGTGCTAACAGTCTCGGAAAAAATTGCTACAACATATCCATTAATTTCATTGAGATCTTGGACTCGTGTGGTAATGCTAGTTGATTCCAAACCTAGGCAGATAGAATTACCTGTTGATGTTTCAAAAGTGTAATACAACATGCTCCCTGAAAATTCATTGAGATTGTAGATATATTGGCCATCTTTGCTTAAAACTGAACGAACAGATTCAACTCCTCATGATCCAGATCAAGAAATAACTTTACTCCAATTATAAGTTGGAGGATTTGCAAGATTTGCAGAAATGAAGTATAAGTCATTTAATCCAGACATCATTGTAGCAATGAAAACTGTATCTCCTCCAATTGATGTTAGGTAAATCTTATTTGTATTTCCATTATCAAAACAATCAACTGTTGTTGCAGTTCGTGTCCATTTTCATACAGCTTCTTCATGTCCTGGTGTATATCTTCCAAGAAGATAAACATTTTGAGATGTAGAGAAGCTCCCTCCAGAGGTGACTATTCCATGCTGGCCAGTTTTATCAAAAGATGAAATCTCGATAACATCAGTGACACTTAAATCCATTGAACTAATTTCGACTGTTTTGTTATTTCCTTGGAAATGAAAATAAATATATTCTCCATTATCTGAGATTGCTGGGCTTCCGTTACTGATGTCATTGCCATATCCCTGAGCTTTGATTACATTCATATCAAAATCTGTCTTAAAGATTTCAGAATAATAAGGACTAAACTCAGCTGAGTCGAACTGAATAAAAAAGAATAGTTCTTCCTTACTAGGGTGGGTTAATACTTCGATAGGGAAACTATATGAGATGGTTCCCAGAGAGATAGAGGTCTTTCCAGGAATATTCTGCTGTAAACTCTGCTCACAAACCTTGGCTGTGACTATGGCTCATAAAAATAGTAGTAGTGCTAGCATTTTTATTTGATTAAATTTTCAATTTAAAACATTTTATAGGGGTTTTGGGGTTTTGGGGTTTTGGGG